GGGGGGGGGGGGGGGGGGGAATGAAGGGATGTTCCGTTGGGGATGCTGAGGGGTGAAAAGGAATCCCATTGGGGACAGCATGGGGCATCACATTGGGGACAGCATGGGGCATCCCACTGGGGTCAGCATTGGGCATCCCATTGGGGACACCATGGGACATCCCATTAGGGACAGCAGGGGACATCCCATTGGGGACACTATAGGGCATCCCCTGGGGACACTATGGGACATCCCACTGGGGACACCATGGGGCATCCCATTATGGGACGTCCCACTGGGGACAGCATGGGACATCCCACTGGGGACACTATGGGACATCCCATTAGGGACACTATGGGACGTCTCACTGGGGACACCATGGGGCATCCCATTATGGATACTATGGGACATCCCACTGGGGACAGCATAGGACATCACATTGGGGACACTATGGGACATCGCACTGGGGACAGCATTGGGCATCCCATTGGGGACAGCATGGGGCATCCCACTGGGGACAGCATGGGGCATCCCACTGGGGACACTATGGGGCATCCCATTGGGGACAGCACGGGACATCCCATTGGGGACACTATGGGGCATCCCATTGGGGACAGCATGGGACATCCCATTAGTGACACTATGGGGCATCCCACTGGGGACAGCATGGGGCATCCCATTAGGGACACTATGGGGCATCCCACTGGGGACAGCATGGGGCATCCCATTAGGGACTCTATGGGACATCCCACTGGGGACATTGTGGGGCAGCATGGGGCATCCCATTGGGGACACTATGGGACATCCCATTGGGGACACTATGGGGCATCCCACTGGGGTCAGCATTGGGCATCCCATTAGGGACACTATGGGACGTCCCACTGGGGACACCATGGGGCATCCCATTATGGATACTATGGGACATCCCACTGGGGACAGCATAGGACATCACATTGGGGACACTATGGGACATCGCACTGGGGACAGCATTGGGCATCCCATTGGGGACAGCATGGGACGTCCCACTGGGGACACCATGGGGCATCCCATTATGGACACTATGGGACATCCCACTGGGGACATTGTGGGGCAGCATGGGGCATCCCATTGGGGACACTGTGGGACATCCCATTGGGGACACTATGGGGCATCCCACTGGGGACACTATGGGACATCCCATTGGGGACAGCATGGGACATCTCACTGGGGACACCATGGGACATCTTGCTGGGGACACTATGGGGCACCAAGGGACATCCCACTGGGGACACCAAGGGACATCCCATTGGGGACACTATGGGACATCCCACTGGGGACACCAAGGGACATCCCATTATGGACACTATGGGACATCCCACTGGGGACACCATGGGACATCTCACTGGTGACACCATGGGACAACTTGCTGGGGACACTACGGGGCACCAAGGGACATCCCATTGGGGACACCAAGGGACATCCCACTGGGGACACCAAGGGACATCCCATTGGGGACACTATGGGACATCCCACTGGGGACACTGGGGCAGCAAGGGACATCCCATTGGGGACAGCATGGAGCATCCCATTAGGGACACTATGGGGCATCAATGGAGATCCCACTGGGGCCAGCATGGGGCATTCCATTGGGGACAGCATGGGACATCCCATTGGGGACACCAAGGGAAATCCCACTAGGGACAACAATGGACATCCTACAGGGGACACTATGGGACCTCCTGTTGGGGACACTACGGGACCCTCACCCTGGGGACACCAAGGGCCATGGGGCTATGGGACTCCCTATAGGAAACCCCACAGAACTACGGGACACCCTACAGGACAGAGTGGCTCCCAGCAGTGGGCCCCTCTGGGATGTAGGGACAGGAGAACGTCCCTTTGGGGACCCCGTGTGACATGGGGACATCTCGTGGGGGTCCTGGGGGGCTCACAGGCATTCTGGAAGAGCTGCATGTGCATCTCGACGAGGGGGAAGCTCTGACGGAAGCTGTAGGTCACCAGGATCTTCTTCTTCTGGAAGATCTTCGTCACCTGCCGGGGGACGTCGCGGTGTCACCACGTTTGGGGTCACCTGATGGGTGGTCCCCACCTTGGGGACATCCCCAATGTCCGGCTCTCACCACCAGGAGGTCGTTGAAGAGGAAGACCTCGCGTTGGTGCAGCCCCAAACGTTGGGGACGATTGGGGTCGGGGACTTCGTAGAGTTGGCAGCAGCAGACCAGGCGGCGGTGGGGCAGGGACAGCACCTAGAACGGTTCCCCCCAGAGGGTCACCTAGAACATTCCTCATTGGTCATGTAGAACATTCCCCTGTAGGGTCACTTAGAACGTCCCCTGTAGGGTCACCTGGAACATCCTCAATGGGTCACACAAAGCTTTCCCCATAGAGTCACCTAGAACATCTCCCATGGGGTCACCTAGAACATCCCCCATAGAGTCACCTAGAACATTCCCCATGGGGTCACCTAGAGTATGCCCCATAGAGTCACCTAGAACATCCCCCATAGGGTCACCTAGAACATCACCCATTGGGTCACACAGAGCATTCCCCATAGAGTCACCTAGAACATCTCCCATGGGGTCACCTAGAACATCCCCCATAGGGTCACACAAAGCATCACCCATAGGGTCACCTAGAGTATGCCCCATGGGGTCACTTAGAACAATCCCCATAGGGTCATCCTGAACGTCCCCATAGAGTCATCTAGAACACTCCTCACGTAAGGATGGCCCCCATAGGGTCACCTAGAACATTCCCCATAGGGTAACCTAGAATATTTTCCATTGGGTCACCTGGAACACGACTCATGGGGTCACAAAAAAACACCCCACATAGGGTCCCATTCTACATTCTAATAGGATCACCTAAACCACCCCCCACTGATCACCCACAGCACCCCCATGGGGCGATGACCCTAAAGGCCCTTCAAATAACCTCAAACACCCCCGGATGCCCCCTGGGTGACCCCAAATCCCTGCTAAGGACTGCAAACCGCCCCCCACGTGACCCCAAATGCCCCCCAAGGACCCCAAAAGCCCACCCCCTCTCCCCTGGGGTCACCCACCGGCTTCTTGCCGACGATCATCCTCTCGACAGCCTGAACCTGGGAGACGTGGTCGTCGTTGGTGCGCAGCTCCCGGCTCTGGATCCGCTGGTAGATGCCCACCAGCATGTCCCGTGGGATGTCCTCCCCGTTGTCCACCCCTGCGCGACACCCGGTCCCTCGCTCTAGAACCCGTCGGGTTCCGGATGCCGCAAGGAAAAAGAGGGACGAGGAGACCAACCCACCCCCTTCACATCGATCCCCCCCTCCCCACCTCGGAGGTTCTTGATGAAGTCCTCCAGCTTCATCTTGCGCTCCGCCTTCACGCTGGGGCTGTACATGTCGGTGTTGAGGAGGATGATGGCGAAGGCCAGGATGAAGATGGTGTCCGGGTTGCGGAACTGGCGCAGCAGGGCCGCGTTACACACGCAGTAGCGCTGGCTGCGGGGCGGACAATCCCCACGGCCTATGGGGTCAGAGTGCCCCACGGACAGCCCCACGCCGCCGGGGTAGGGCACCCCACAATGGTCCCAGTGTGGGGTGCCACTTCCTCCCAGTCTATAGGGTCACCTAGAACATCTCTGTATTGCACAGGGAATGTCAACCCGAATGCTGTTCCCCCTGGGCCTATAGGGTCACCTAGAACATCTCTGTATGGCGTAGGGAATGTTGACCTTAATGTCTTCCCCCTGGGCCCATAGGGTCACCTAGAACATCTCTGTATGGCGTAGGGAACGTTGACTTTAATGTCTTCCCCTCTGGGCCTATAGGGTCACCTAGAACATCCCCTTATTGCATATGGAATGTCAACCGTAATGTCTTCCCCCCCTGGGCCTATAGGGTCACCTAGAACATCTCTGTATGGCGTAGGGAATGTTGACCTTAATGTCTTCCCCTCTGGGCCTATAGGGTCACCTAGAACATCCCCTTATTGCATATGGAATGTCAACCCTAACGTCTTTCCCCCCCTGAGCCTATAGGATCACCTAGAACACCTCCTTACTGCATACAGAATGTCAACCCTAATGTCTTCCCCCCCTGAGCCTATAGGATCACCTAGAACACCTCCTTATTGCATAGAGAATGTCAACCCCAATGTCTTTCCCTATAGGATCACCTAGAACGTCTCCTTACTGCGTATGGAACATCAACCCTAATGTCTTCCCTCCTCCTCCCCCCCCCGAACCTATAGGGTCACCTAGAACATCTTTGTATTGTGTAGGGAATGTCAACCCTAATGTCTTCCCCTCTGGGCCTATAGGGTCACCTAGAACGTCTCCTTCTTGCATACAGAACTTTAACCCTAATGTCGTCCCCCTTGGGCCTATAGGGTCACCTAAAATGTCTCCTTATCGCATCTGGAACATTAACCCTGATGTTTTTCTCACTGAGAACTTATCAGGTCTCCTAGAACATCCCCCTCTCAATCCATAGGGTCACCTAGAACACCTCCTTATTGCATACGGAACATTAACCCTAATGTCTC